CCTAGTAGCCAGAACGCACTTCTATGCCTACTATGCAAGGCCCGATTTGCCTAATAAGCCAAGTTTTCATGAATTAATTGTTTTTCGACTACCTAACCTAACCTAACCTAACTTTTTCGGCTACCTAACCTAACCTAACCTATAAAGATAGGTTAGGTTAGGTTAGGTAGGGTTGGTTAGGTTCGGTCATATATCTACGTTAATTTTAACTCCAATAAAAAAAATTGACCTCATACGTAATGAAATGGGTAGCTTTATCATTTCATAAGAAAAAAAATAGAGAAAATATATTAATTCAGGAAAACTTGGCTTATTAGGCAAATCGGGCCTTGCATAGTAGGCCGAGAAGTGCGTTCTGGCTACTAGATACGACATATATATATACTGTATATATATATATATATATATATATATATATATATATATATATATATATATATATATATATATATATATATATATATATATACACAGTATATATGACAGTGTCAGACCACAAAGGAAGAATTGAAACAAATTTTATTAGGTACTTTCCAATTTAATAATACATTTTCAGAAGGATAGACTTAAAAGTTCATAGATTGGACATATATAGGCAGGAGAGAGAGGTGAAGTGAAGTGAGGCACAATAACAAATATATGAATAGATTAGGTGGATATAAATAGGAGCTGCATCATAATAGCATAAGGTAGTGGATATTAACAAGTATTAGTGGGACAAATGTGTATCAATGATCCTACTCAAATTGCCCTTTAACTGATCAATCAAAAGTGTCTAAATTATACAAACCACTGCTAATGTTCAAATTACATGATTTTGTAATCTGTATTAAAGCAGATTCAATTATGTTCCTATTGAAAGTGCTTTTACAATTCGTTATTGAAATAGCCATCTCCCAATCAATTTGGTGAGAATTTTCTGACAAATGAACAAGCAAAGCATTAGACAACAAATTACATTTCAAAAGATTTGAAATGTGGAATTTCGCAACATAAATACTGTACTCTGTAAGACACGGCCAATTGTCTAATGCTTCGCTTGTTCATTTGTCAGAAAATTCTCACCAAATTGACTGGGAGATGGCTATTTCAATAACGAATTGAAAAATCACTTTCAATAGGAACATAATTGAATCTGCTTTAATACAGATTACAAAATCATGTAATTTGAACATTGGCAGTGGTTTGTATAATTTAAATAACACTTTTGATTGATCAGTTAATGGGCGATTTGAGTAGGATCATTGATACACATTTGTCTCGCTAATACTTGTCAATATCCACTATCTTATGCTATTATTATCCATGCATGGGCCTATTGGCCCATATGATGCAGCTCCTATTTATATCCACCCAATCCATTCATATATTTGTCATTGTACCTCACTTCACTTCACTTCACCTCTCTCTCTCCTGCCTATGTATGACCAATGAACAGATCCACAAGGGCCGTGATGAGGGTTCGAACCTACGTCTGAGAGGATCCCAGACGCGCCTTAATCGACTGCGTTTTGATGCATCACACTATTGCGATTTCTGTGTGTATGTATGTCCAATCTACAAACTTGTAAATCCATCCATCTGAAGATTTATTATTAAATAGGAAAGAACTTAAAAGAAATTCCGGTTTCAATTCTTCCTTTGTGGTAATTTTTGTGATATACACACTATATATTATATATATTATATTATATATATTATATATATATATATATATATATATATATATATATATATATATATATATATATATATATATATATATATATATATATATATATATATATATATAATTAGCTATGGGATATTATCTTGTTCCTTAATATGTTATTTTTGGACTGGAAAACCTTAAAAACCAGTTTGAATTCTGTAATGTGACTGCTCAGTGAGATTTATTGTATGGTAAGTGCAGTCAGGTCACAGCTGAAAGGTCCCGACTTTAATTTCTATCACAAAATACAAGTCTTTGGCAACGTTACCTTTCACCTGTTGCCTAGGTTCAACTAGCAGGAGATAGACAACTGTTGTGGGTTGCATCCTGGGGAAAAGGTCAGTAATTGGCTTATGGAGACCTCAATAAGCCTAACAGGTTTCCTGTCCCAGACTATAGAAAACAAAATATAAACCCGATGGCTCTTGAAGACGTGTTAGAACATGGGTGTAACTCCTGCTAGCAATAGTGATGTGTTGAGCAATTATTCCTAAACAGTCATTTCTCAATTAAACGATTATCTGACAATGAATAACTACTTGTTAAGTGATTGGGAAACTGTTAGGAAATTGGTAAACAAAGACAATTAAAAAGGAGAGCCAGTATTGAACAGCATTTTGAGCATGTTAGCTTCAATAGTTGATTTGATATAAGTTCAAAATTCTATAGAATTTTATCAAATTAAAGGCGCACCTTGTTAAGTGTCGTTGTTTACCATAACTACTGATCCATCATGACAAGACCATTAAAGATCTTACAAGAAATTTATTTGAAGTAATAAATCATGTGTTATTGGTCAAATTTAATTTAGGCACTGATTTAATCAAATTAATACTTCTGAAACAGGTAGCAGACTTTTTAATCTAAATTTTTATTGCATAGTTCTGATAAGCAAAGATGATATGGAGGTATGCATGCATGTATGTATGTATGCATACATTATAGGAGCTGAGGATTGTGAAACTCACTTGTTAACCATGACTGCAGTTCTTGACACAGGCCTTGACTAATTAATTGATAGTACGAGTGATAAATATTTTGTACTCCAGTGTATAAACAATAAATGATGATTTTTATTGAAAGCAATAAACTTTTGTTTTATTTCCCATGAAGCACAAGGAAATGTGACTAGTGGGGGGTTGTGTGGCAATTAATTCCAACTCAAATAATATTCCTAACTTACAAAACATGAACTATTTGTGGGTAAAACAAAAAAGTTATTTGCAATAAAGGTAGGCTTTCAAAGCCCTGTAAATAGCCTTAGGCAAATTTATCTCCAGGAGTGCAAATGGTCAAATATGCTTCTCAAATTCCACTCTTCCCTGGAGTTGTCAAAATTAATTTTTTTGAGAGTGGGGAAGAGGGAGAGAGCAAAGTGGGGGACCGAGGGGAGGGGAAGAGATTAATAGGGTAAAATGAAGGAAAGAAACCCAGAGATATATATTATATACTGTATAATATATATATATATATATATATATATATATATATATATATATATATATATATATATATATATATATATATATATATATATATATATTTATACTGTATATATATATATATATATATATATTATATATATTATTATTATTATACATACACACACACAAAAAAAAAAAGAACAGGGGGTGGGAGGAGAAGAAAATATTAATTTAAAGTGTTCAGTGAGAATCCACAAGGTTTTCTCTGCTTACTCTTTGTTTTCTTCTCCCAGGTTATGGGTCCCTACAATTGCACCAGAGGTGGTACCCTTATTATATATATACAGTATATAAATACATACATATGTGAAAATATCTGTCTATTCAAGGTTGGAAGCCAGACACGAAAGAAGGGGATAAAGAGAGGAGGGTAGGGAGAAGTGGAAAAATGGGGGAGATGGGGAAATAAGAGGGGTGGAATCACTTTTTTTTGGGGGGGGAGGGGGGAAGGGGGGGAAGAGACATTATCCTGGGAACTGCTGTGTACTCGTTCTAGTACTGTTGTAAGTGCAGTGTGGCACAACAGTCACTCAACTCCTGGTGGAATATCATAATTTTAAGGACAATTGGAAACTTTGCTTTCTCACTGTTTCAATACACCACTCCTCTCAAAATCTTCATTGAATATAACTACTGTACTGTATTTGACATCGATTACCTTGTCAGCCTGCTCTCACACTGGTATTTTGAATATCTAGAAACTCTTGAATACAGTTACTTAAAATGCTAATGATCAATACAAAATTCAAGTACTAACTCTATAGATATAACTACAGGTACTCTTCCATGAAAATAAAAATACCAGTATAAATAACAATAATTAGGATAGTAATGGATAGAATAAATGATGATAATGACATTTAATGGGCAATGACACTTGCCAGTTAGCTTTGAATTTTTCGTTGTTTGTGCATTATGAACTCTATTCGGGAACTTATTTAATTGTTTTTTTAAACTGTATACAGTACCATCAACATTTGATCTGCAAATTCAGGGATACAAGAATATTTGTTTAACGCCCAAGTTAAGAGTATGCAGCAAAGGATTCAGCCATCCAAAAATTAAATGGCACAAACTTAGTCAAATTTGATAGTGTATGAATATTTGAACTATATACAAGGACTGGTTGGGCCAGATGCAAGGTGTCACAGAACATAATGCAACATTGTTTAATGTTTTGGTGCTTAATGCATCTTACCACTCATGCCACACCCGTGTCCACCCTCATGATTTCTGACAAACATCTTGTGCTCTGAACACTTTTGGACTATTTTTTTGTTTTATGATAGCATCCAGAACCTTTAACACACATGCACAGGAACATGCATTTTATTAAAGTAGAAAACAAAAAGTGGAATTTTTAAGGTCTCTGGAACCAAATCTATTTTTCTCTATTATGAAACCAAGTTTACTCGGCATGCAATTTTCCAGAAACATAACCCTCATGAAGATCAATAAAAAAATTACAGTATATAATATATAAGTTATGACAAATTTATTGTACCTTACATTTGAGGCAGGAAAAGTAATCATCAGAAAAAAGCACTATGCCAGTTCAACTGTACAGCACTTGGAAGGATACAAGGACGAATAAAATGGAATAGGACGGAGGGAAGAAATGGTGTCCAACATCTTGCATCATTGGAGATTGATCACTGACCTACAAGTTAGACCATTGCTGTTCCGACCAAGTCCAAGTGGTTAGGTATTTTTAAGGCAGATCAAATTAGTACCAAGTCAGTGTGTGTAGGAATGGCAAAGATGTCACACTTCTAACACCATACCCAATAATTACAGATGCATAGTAAAATATTTAACACATTTATTTATATATTTACAGTATACATAATTCTGTACATAAATCCACCTAAATATACAAAAATACATTAAGTAAATAATACAAAAAAAATTGAAATTATAACAAGTAAAGCTGGGATTCAGATACAAGATGGTACAGGTGCCCTGCTGCTACACTGCAGTACAGGTACACCTGGTGCTATACTGTGGTACAAATACCCCTGGTGCTACACTGTAGTACAGATACCCCTGGTGCTACACTGCAGTACAGGTACCCCTAGTGCTACACTGTGGTACAGGTACCCCTGGTGCTACATTGCAGTACAGGTACCCATGGTACTACACTGTGGTACAAATACCCCTGGTGCTACACTGTGGTACAGATACCCCTGGTGCTACACTGTGGTACAGGTACCTTGATGCTTTACCATGGAGATAAGAAGTGATAAAGTACATATGGGAGAGATCTGTTGATGATACAACAGTATAGAAGAAGCTAGATTCTATTTAGATAATACTACCTGTGTCAACATATATGTACCAACTACAGCACAACACAGTTGTACTACCCAACCCACACTGTATTGACACTGTACCTGTAGGTTCTCTCTTTAATACCAAGTCAACCCAAGATTACTATAAATGGGGTGAGCACTGATTCCCAGCATTCAATCTTTCATCAGCTCCTCAACTAAGAAAACCATGTTCAATACCTCACCTTACTAGAAGACACCCTGCCACCTCAACCATCATTTGATGGCATCTGCTAGCACAGCTCCCACTCCAAAGTGAACTGGCACCGACTCTGGAGTCTTGTGTATCTTGTATCATTAAAAATGTAACACTGTTTTTGTCACATTTATGCTGTTTCATATTCCTTACCTGGTTACCCTCAAAGATCAATAAATATACAGTATATGTCAAGCATGACAAGTGACTGCAAATTTTATATTAACCTCAATCTAATAAAGGAAGCACGAATATTTGTTTACAGTACTTAGTATTACCTACTTGAATCTCAAACAATGGCAGACAATGAGTCACAGTAATGTGGCTGAAGATATGATGTCCAAACCACACATCAGAAACTGAAGAAACGATGAAGTTTTGGTCTGAAATGGACCATTATCAAGTAGTGTCACGACTTGATAATGGTCCACGACAGACCAAAACATTGTAATTTCTTCATTTTCTGATGTGTGGTTTGGACATCAACCAATTGCAATTTCTAGTTAATAATTTAATGCAACAATGCCAAGAAAAATATTCAACAGCAACTTGACCATTAACATAACTTGAAACAGATACAAATTTAATATTAGTCAAATTGAAATGTGCATAGCTACTGCCATACTGTAATGGTATTAAAGTTCATTTCCTGAATCACAACCTTTTAACAACTTAACTTACTTTTATAAGATTTGACCTTATTATAAAAAAATATTCAAAACCAGTATGACTATAACACACTTTGCATGTCACAGAAGAAGCAAAAATTCCTAAACATTACTAAGGATGCTATTACAGAAGCAGAAAGTCATCAGTTAACCTATGTCAAAGGAGACAGACTATGAAACTTTGGTAAATAAATTTTCCAATCATCTTCAAATTGGAACATTCAACCAGGAGATGACTGAGTGAAACAATACAATTCTGCCATTAAGGAGCAGGTTTCCTCTCTATTAGTGCCTCTGTGTTAGTCTTGTGTGACCGATATGTAATTAAGCTAAGGCCATTTCCCATCCTTGCTGCAAGGAGCATATGAAGCTTAGAGAACTGCCCTAAAGACTCCTTTAGTTATCTTGAGATAAATAATAGTTGATCATAAATCAGTACTAAATAACCAATATGAATATACATTCTGATTAACTATGATGTCAGTGTTATGTTACAAACTGCAAATATTAGTTAAAAAACAAAAGCTCTATATTTTCTTCTTAAATTTTATTTAAATAGGAGTTTGTAGAGCATAGCCAATATATGGTTTACCTCTTGCAATTATCTTAAGGTTAGATGTGCGATATATAGATCTTATTTGAGTAAATACAACATTGTGAATCATGCCAAGCATCAATACCTCAAGATTTGGTAGGAGTTCTATTAATAAGATATAAAATGAAGTATCCACATGGTTGAGTGGCTGGTTGGGGACCCACTTGCTAACAGAACGGGCATTAAAACTGAGTCGTAATGTCTTTATTCCATCAAGCATTTTGTTACCCGCTATTTCCATCAGCCATGCACATGGTCTATATGCCAACATGAGCTCCATACTAGTCAAGATGGGAGAAGCTGTAATCAATTTCTCTGCTAGTGTGTTAATAATACTAGTACTTATATTCTGAACAGCAACACTGGCAAAGCTTAATGAAGTTAATCTTGATAGTCTTTTGATATGAAAGTTTGTTTCACTAAATACGTTCACTTCTGAAAGTAACCTTATTTCCAGAAGCTCAAGATTGGGGCACAGAGATATGAGCTGGCATATTTCATTTAAATTTATACTTGTATACAAATGAAAATGTAATGCACTTAAGCTCGGTCCTATTCTACTAAAAAGGGGTATATACAAAGAAAGAAATTCACCATTTCTGATGTCCTCAGAAGGACTAAATGGTACATGAATCGTTAAGTTCTTACATCCGAACATTGGTATCCAGATCTCGGCAAATCTAGCATACTCCATAATATTATCATCACTTGTATGAACACTAGCACAATGACATAGTGTTAAATGCTGCAACTTCCTAAATTTTAAAATGATAGATTTTGCATCAATATTTCCATTAGGTTGCAATATAGTCTCAGGTATACAATAATGTATGAAAGACATTAAACCAATGAGGTCAATGTGCTTAATGTTGTAGGTCATAAAGGAGCAATGCTGAGGTAAACTCACAGGTAACAGAGGCATAAAAGGCTGCATGGTATGGCAAGATATACTGGTTATATTGGGGTAAAATAACATTAGATTATACAAAAATTCTGTAAAAGACTGCCTTTTAACAACCTTTTTAAATTTTCTTCTATCACCCATGTCAACACACTTGAGCCTTGGAAAGGATATGTATTTTTGCCTGCTTAAATGGCTTTCACTGCCAGCAATAGTATTAACCCTTTCATAATCTAATCCAGAGAAAAATGTTTTGTATAAACAATCAACTGGAACCATTAGTCTGCCAAAGAACTGCTCTACTATAAATGTGTCTATCAAAGGGCAGTGCTGTCCTATGCACAGAAGGATCTCTTCACAAATGTTTTTACGCAAGTGTACTTTCTTCAGGAATGGGGAATTTTCTACAACAATAATCCAAGGTTCAACATTTCCAAAGATAATGTGTTCAGTTGATAATTCTTCTATTCCAAATGGTTTCAAAGACTTCAAAACTTCAGCAAACACTGGGCATCTATTTCGCTGGAGTTCTATCTGCATCTGTAATGAATATATACACATACTGCATTGATTTTATATTTTATAAAATAAATGATAGTGCATCAGTTGACTTCATTATCTGACTTGACTTCAGTGATACTATTGTCTCTAGCCATTGCAAAAATATACCATAAGTGGCAATAACAGTTTTAATGACAGTTATCACCCAAGCTTGTTGGGTGATTTCACTGTACTTGATTTCTAAGGTTGTTGCTTAAGCCTATGTATCCATTGCAACAGGACAGATCTGGCACTTCCAACAGAAACGTACCCCAATTGCCTCTCGAGAAACCTCTACTTGTGTTCTGGCAATATTTCTTATATTGGGTAGGAGGTTTGAAAGCCATGGGTCTTTGATATTCATATAGTGTTTTCCAATTGTCCTTATGAAACCTCTAGTCTTCACTGGGTTTGTATAGTAGCATTTCCTATATCTTTTGCTCTCGAGTATCTTATTTGATTGTGTATATATGGGACCTGGTCTTTCAGTCTTCCATGTATATATTACGATATATCTCTCTCTTGTCTCTATTCACAAGAAAATATTATGAATGTTTTGAGACAGTAATTTGGGTGCTTTACTGTATCTATGAATGTCCAATATATTCTCTTTATTCCTTCTATTTCAGATACAGTATTTCTCCAGCTATCAAAGAGAATGCAAGTCAAGCACTTGTGTTGTCTAACAACAAGACAACATAAGTGACTTAAAAAGTAGAAGTGCTGTGGTGTGATTCTTTCTCTTTGGATCAAATCTAGTCTGGCTGATGGTATGTTTTCTTGTTTATGCTGCTTAAACATTAGGTTGATTGATATCATAATTCCTACTGTATATCCTTCACATGTTTTCCTTCTATAAGAAGATCTGATTGTACCTCCAAAATCCAGATTACTGTACATCATTTCAGCTCTAATCCAGAAGAATGGTGAAAAATCTGATTACCAGAAATTTGCCCTTATTCTGGCTATTTATTATCAAATTTTATACATTTTTTCCAAGTAAATTTCAAAATGAAAATTACCCAAATAATTTTGTTTTAAATATGCTCGATGGCATTCATAAGGCACTAACTCTTTCTGTTATTTTGTGTTACCCTGTAATACCAATATCACACCAATATCAAAGAAGGTCATGCCCTAAAATTTCCCACACACTATGGGTCAATTTTACTAAGAGAAGTTTTAATTTCAATCTATTTTATAATGGGCAACTACCAAGAAAACCTGTGTGAGTAAAAATATTTCATCACATCTAGGTTATTTCCCACACCCCAGCCTTGAAAGCTCATTTACAAAGGAAACAGGACACATACCTCAGTGAACAAAAACAATGCCAAATCAAAATAAAACAAAACACATAATTGTTTTTTTTCCAGTGCACCAATTTTTTTCCAGTAATGCATTTATCTACAAAAATCATTACAAATTTGACTGGAGCTATATTAAATGAGTTAGCATACATGCACTAGTTTTTACCACACTTCATGGGCAAATTTCACTGTACAATATTTTAATTTTATGACATGAAATTATGGAGAAATACCAGAACAACCTGTCAATAATGAATGCCTGGCACAAGGGAAACATCTCCCTCAAAGCAATAACCAAACCATAACTTAGGGCAAGAGAGAGGCCATAAGCATCCTTTGGCTAAAGTGTGAGGGGCCCCAACATGCCCCAGGAGCTGGGTCATGCACAACAAGCAGCTCTTTTACATGAATAGCCCACAGCCCAAGAGCTATCTGTCTCTTTCCATCAAGAGGCTCCAGTAGAGAGAGAGAAAAAAGTCTTATGCACTGCCCAGATGCAAGGTGATTCAAAAGGAGTGAGCTCATGGAGGAGGAAACCACAGCTCCTCAGGGCAGACATCTCTCCTGGAGTATAGCATAAGAGAAACCAGGCAGACACCAGAGAGTAATTGTTGTCACAGTTGGAGTGCAATGGAATATTAGGGCACACTCAATGTGGGTGGCATAAAACACAATCATGAAGCATAAATTAAAACAAAACAATGGTCCCAAGCAGAACAAATGTTCCAGGGAAAGCTAGCACCACTTGACTAAAAGCACATGAAAAGCACCAGGCAGAAGAGTGAAGGGGCAGGCTGCCTGAGACCGAAGTGATCTGGGCTACCATTCGGTGATGGGGAGCTGCAACACGGTTATAGTATACTGTACATCCAACAGCAATAATCTTTTACCTTGGGGTGCCTAATTTCCTTAAAAGTGTCACTAGTTTGTTGTACTTATGCTTTTTAGTTTTCTTCTCAGGCAAGCTATTGAGCTTCCCTAGCTCCTTGGCCTTTTTGCGAGGTCTTGACATGCCTCACAAAGCACGCCATATAGATTGCATTAAGTTGCACAATGAAATAATTTTTTGAGTTGTACAGCTGTATTGTTATCAATGGTACAGAATACACAGATTTTTGCAGTATTCATACCAATAAATATTTCAGCCAATACAATACTGTACTTCAATTACTTTAATTTTTTACACAGGCAGGTATAAGAGAAAATTAGTTCTGACCCTTGATAACAGGCTTTAAGCTCTCCCTCCTACACCTTATCCTAAGCTTTTCCCTATTATTTTTCCACTGGAAGACAATATGGCAACTGGACTACAACCAGGCTTACAATTACTGTTCAGTGAACATGGTTGAACAGTAATGATTGATGATCAATCATCCCTTCTTTACCAGAGGGAGGAATTATGAGTAAAAAATAAAGAACTTAAACCTCACATCACTGGAATACAGAAGAGTTAAGGAAGATATGATAACAATATAAAATTCTCAGGGGAATTGAGAGGGTAGATAAGGACAGTTTATTTGGAATGGAATGTACATAAGCAAGGGGACAGAGATGGAAACTATGTACTCAATGAGCTACAGTGACATTAGAAATAAAAAAAAAAAAAAAAAAAATATTGAACAAATAGACTGGACTATAAACTGAAGTAGCTGAAGCAAACTCCATACACAGCATCAAATGCACATATGACAGAGCCCAATAGGCTCCAGAACCTGCTGATCAGTCGATTGATGGCTGAATGGCAGGACCAAAGTGCCAAAGCTCAACCCCAGGAAGTACAATTAGGTAAGTACTCCTTCCTCAACCAATCATAGTTGAGGAAGATTGGGGAAGAAAATCCTGAGTTGAGGAAGATAATCCAACCCACACTTGCCCCTACCTATTCATGCCCAGCTTATTTCTGTCCCATCACCCCCTTTCCCACCCATCTTACACCCACCGACTTCTTCTTCTACCATTCTCACACCCTCCTGCTGTTTGGCATTCACTTAATTGTGGTTGCAGAAGTTCAACTTTAGCTCTGTGGTCTCGCCTTACAACCTAAGCAATGCAACATGTGATGTGATGCAACATTGTACTATGCAGGGAGGTATCAAATTCTTTAAAGCACACTCATGGTTTTATTTCAAACTGAACATGGAGGGAATATAAGGCATCATGACCTGAACCACTCCAAGACTGAGTTAGCTTATAAAAAGTAACTATGGATTTTGTTTTAGCATTACTAAATCATTAATCACTGCTGGGAACTCTATTTAAGAGTTTCATTTAGTGAACTCTGCAAGAACAGTTGTGCTAAGATTAATTTATATAATTACCGAGTGTTATTACTGTAATTTACTATTTCACTACTGTACTTACTTAATTTCCAAACTGAGATCATGAGAAGCATTGTTATGTTATAATACATTCTAACACAGAAAAACATATTAAATATCGGTATCAGAGCATTGATTAACAAAGCAATATTGGTATCGGTCAACATTTTGGTATCTTTACCAGCACTAATTTTAGAACTTTAATTCATTATCATAATCCCCATTTGCCACTATCATGAAGTAAAGAAGCACTGACCCCACAGAAAAAAAAAGTGTAAGAATACATTTGAGATTTTCTAGATATCAAAAAGAAAACTACTAAATTTGTTGTAAATAGAGATAAATGTTAAGAGATGGGTCACTAGCCTAATTGCCCAACCCCCTATACTACATGGAATGAGAAGCCAGTTGCACTACAAAGTGGTGAACACGGTTCCCTATGCTAAAGGATGTGATCAGCTTTAATTTGAGGCACTGATCTTTACAGTTATAAACAACTGAAAGTGAACAAAATTATTGTACCTACCACAATCAATAAATAATAAAAATGAACTACAGTACTAACCTTTGGGTTATCTGGAAACTCTGCAGCATCAGTGGCCCCAAGAACTCTTGTTGAAAATATAAGTTGGAGCAAAAATCTAAAGAGCGGAAACTCGCAATGTGGATCCACTAGTTCTAGATATATGGTGAAGCCCTCTTTTATGTGCCTTCGAATTTCTGAATTCTGTTTACCAAGCCACTCATTATTTTCCCACCAATGCTTCAATTGCTGGAGATGTGTCTGGAGGTTGAAAGAAACACTGTATTGTATTTAAAAATTCTTAAAAAAATTATGAAAAAGTTTGCCTTCACAGCAAGAAGTAATTATCATAGTGTTTTGCCAAAATGACTATACTGTATAACATTAGAAAATATGTTAATGAAAAGATAACTATTGTTCAAAGAATTTGGAAACTAAGAATTTTTAAAACAAGGAATTTAAAATATTTACAAAAAATAACAGATGTATTATGAATAGAATTCTTGATCGATAAACCAAAAAATTAGAAATGTGTATCTGCAAATAAATATTAAGGCTAATTATAAAATCATACATTGCCTGTTTCAAAATCTGCATTAATTGGTACGAGACATGATAGGAAAAATGGAGATGGCGAATGTAGACGCCAATGGAATACAGTACTGCAGCTCGAGTTTGCAACATGCATGTTGCAACTTCTCTCATGCAACATGTTGGCAAGAATCGAAGTGTTGGCAGAGTCAAGATGTTGGCTGAGGAAGTTGCTTGGGAAGTGGTTTAGCAACTCAATCCAATCTAGTGAAAATGTTCCACTAGATTGATGGACTAGGTGACTTCAAGAGATCCTTCCACAGAAAAGAGATTTTCACTGATATCCATGTTCAATGACAACTGAAGACAGAATACCATACATGAATATTCACCCATGGAGGAATGCACATTCTCTTCAATCATCTTCAACATAATTATGGCCTTAGGCCATATGATTAATTGATACAGGTAAGAAGGTAGAAGTGGCCATGGTGTGACAGTACAGACCTTATGATGTTGATAAACACCATCTCAACTTGTTCTAGAGGTGATCATTCTTATCCTATTAATATCTGGTTAATCCAATCCTTGTGATTATAATGCATCATCTTTGTTAACAAAATGCCAGCTTTTTGCCTTTCTACTCCACATACTCCTCTGGGAAATTTCTCAAAATTAAATCTATCACAGTTGTAAGTGGTTCTCATGACCTTTACAGTTCATCTAATATTATCCACTCTTAAGAGTACTTTAACTCCGGTGTGCCCTTTCACACTTTGCAGTCCAATTTTCTTATGTGCAATCTAAATTCCATTTCCCTGTGGCATCCTTCCCACTATGTCAAATTAATTTCCAGTAAAACAAAGATTTGACTATTACAATACTGTACAGAAATCTTCTGCTGATCAGCCTAATAGCTTCACTTTGAAATCTATTATTTTCAACCTCAATTCTTTATCAATATCTTAGGTATTTGCATCACTGCTAAATTGGCTTTAAAACCACCTACTTTACAACTCCCAAGCCTCCAAAATGTTGAGAATTTCTTGCAGATTCAGAAGATATAGAGACTTTACAAAGACTCGCACCCTTGTTCTAAGCACAGCTCTAACATCGGGGAAAGCTCCTACTCAATAATTCACATAATTTAAAGGGAATTTATTTATACAGTATCTCCAGTTCCAATGACCTCACTTCAGATAAAAAATCCTAACTATGCTGCTGCAGTTACATTAAGACTCATCGACAGGGTCTCCACTTACAGCTTCCAGCCCTACCCCCCACTGTGGTCATATGTTGTTCCAGATGCACTAGCAGCCTTCATTGTTTCCTAATGGACAATGGCACTCCATTGCAACAATTGGCCACCTTCGCCGACCAGCTCTACACAGGAACTCAGAAGTCCTGCGGTATTCTCCTTGACGGATGCAAAGCTTCCTGCCACTAAAGCTTCCTGGCTTTCACCACATTTGCTGACCTTCGAGCTTTTGCTCCCACCGTGGCCCCCTCATCAGATGCATCTACTACTGGAGCCTCAGCACCCTGAAAACTCTTCATCTCAGTCAGGACAAAACAGGACCAACAGCTCTCCAGTGACTCACTCTCACTGCCCTGACCACTTTGACTAGCCGTAGCCACCACCAAGCCTTGTCCCATCCTCAACACCTCAGCACTGCATGACATCTGCTTCACAGTGCTGCCTTCCATGATTCCAAGGCACAGGCCTGTTCACATGCTGCCTGCCACCAGTAAAGACCTCGGCTGCTTTGCCACTGACCCCACAGGAGGGGATGACCATACTCTTATCTCTCCTACTGCTACTATTTCTACTACTCCTACTCACTTATGGTCCCACTGCACAAGACGGTTCACATGTTGCCTACCTCTGTTACTGGATCTAACTGCTCTACCAGTAACCCAGGGAGCAACAACATTATTTTTCCTCTACGGAGATGTCTCTTCTCACTGGGAAGTGGGAGTACTACAGCAGCTATAACAGCACCCACAGCATCGATCACTGCTACTCCTACCACTTAGGAGTATTACTTACAGATGTTGCACTGATATCCACAGTAAGTTGTTTCTCCTCAGCCAATCAGCAAACAGCAGTGGGCTACACATCATAGGTGGACGAGTATAAAATAACACGAACTGCCAAGTCCAGGCAATTCCAGTATAGCTAAACAAGGAATATTGTCTCACAATCATCTCAACAACAGACTGCCTCCAGCCTGGACATATGGCCCACAATGTCTCGATACTATTTTGCCATTCTTCAACCCATAAGCTATCTCAAACATGTACTGTTAACTGCTGTACAGTAGTAAATTTACAGTACTGTCCTTCTGTCAGGGTACAGTAAAAAGTCTACACCTTCTCGAAGTAATCGAACAATCTATATTACACATCTCTGACAAAGATGCATTGGCTCTCATTTATGTAAAACAGCTGATATAATATTCACTTTTTTCTGTAACCCTGCAATGTATAGAGGACAACTTTGCCTTTCACAAAGATAAAAAAAAATCAAACGTTCTAGATTACATTCCATTTTATATCCAAAGTTGGGTACAGAATTTTTACAAATTACTAAACATATATGAAAACAAAATAACATCTAAATTTTCACTGTTCAATTATTATGTGATGTTGCATCAAGAAGCCAGTTTAACAAATTTGATATAAATGAATAAAAATAAAATTATAATTACATATATTGTAAATTTAAAGTCTTTGAAAAGCACTGCTAATGCAAAAAAATGAAGAACATAAATAAAGGAATGCAGAAGGATATGTTAGTGTAAAAATAAACAAGAAATAAATACATTATATATACATACAGGTATATACATACATATATAAATGCATACATACATACATACATTATATATAATAAACAAAGATAATTACAATATCAAAACACTGTAAATACTCAGATGCTCTAAAAGAGCAGAAGATGTTTTATCAGAAGCTTACCAACAACAGAGTTTTATCACGAATTTGCTCTGGTCCTGATGTCAGAATCTTGTCCAATTTGCTACTGTGTTCGTGTACAATGGAGAACTCTGCAAAGGATTAAAATTAAGACTAGCATACTGTACATATTTATTTAGAAACTGACATACTAACACAAACATACAAGAGAGAGTACATTATTCCAACATACTTTGTCAATGGCACTCTGTAATCTCTTCATATCGAATAGGGTAACAGTACATTACTGTGCATACCTAAGCTTGTTCTTGTACTTAACCCAGATTTTGCTATTACAGGCTAATAGATCAGCCTCGCATTTTATGTTCTCTCTTGAATCCATGTACGACTAACTATCTTGCGAGATGGGGATATTAGATGAACTTATAACTAATTTTTTATCTGCACTCTGTAATCCTTCATACAGAATAGGATAGCAGTACATTGCTTTAAAAAAAAAAAAAAAAAAAAAAAAAATCTGCCTTTTTTTTTTTTTTTTTGCAAGCATCCTGATAGAGAGAAAGGGGGGGGCAGGGAAATTGGGAGTAAAGAGAGAGGAGGGGGGGAAAGGGAGAGGAGGGGGGAAAGGGAGAGGAGGGGGGAAAAGGAGAGGAGGGGGGAAAGAGGAGGGGGGAAAGAGGAGGGGGGAAAGAGAGAGGAGGGGGAAGGAAAATGGAGAGGGAATGGTGGTGGGGGTGGGAAGGTATTGAAGGTGGAAGGGAAAACATGGTGGTGGTGGGAAGGTATTGGAAGTGGAAGGGAAAAGATGGTGGTGGGGGTGGGAAAGGGAAGGGAGATGTGGAGGGGTAGAGGGATGGGGAAGGGGATGGGAAGGAGTAGGGGGATGGGATGGAGTAAGGAGATGGGAGGATGACTGGGGGGTGCATAAATTAAAAATCCTAAAATAAGCTTTTGGATGGCATAATTGATTACAGTACTTTTTTCTAATTTACCTTGTAGTTGAAGGAATTTTGTACTATGCAGTGAAGGAGGGATGGAATGCTGCAACACCAAACTAATAAATTTCTCCAAAGCTTGTTCTTCCAAGCGTTTAGGGGTGTGGGATGGTATGACCATTTCTTCTTCCCGGGGTGCCATTCTAAGAAGTGTTGCAAGTGTTCGACAGATCTCCGACTCATCCCAAGGCATAAATCCTTAGATAAAAACACAAATTATTATGGCAAGAAGGTTTTATCGGGGGAAGCACCAAGTCATTACGACTATATAGCACTTAGAACGGGGTTAGGATAAGGATTTTGGGATGGGATGTGGGAACGGAAGTGTCCAACCACTTGAACGGTCGGGAATTGAACGCCGACCTGCATGGTTAGTGGCCCTCAGGTAAATCAGGTAAGTTATATAGACAATTAGGCTAGGATAAGCACAGTTTTGTATAGTCACTAGTATGCCAAAACTTTAGATTAGGTCTATGCTTGTTATACAATATAAATTCTTGAGCTTGTTCAATATACAGTACTTCAAAATTTAAAATGCATGATAGGCTAGGCCTCTAATGAGTGCATGGACTTTTGATACGATTCTGAAGTCATTTGACATCAAGTGTATATGTTCACAAGGGCAGACAACCTACAGTGCATTTCAAAATTTAGAAAATGCATACAGATTAGCCTAAAATAGTATTATTGGATACTTTATCAGTATATCCTTTAGAACCCAAGATAATTTGTCAATGGATTTTAACATACCAGTAATTCATTTTGTGGAGACAGGCAACATGTTTATGTACACAAATTTGGCTTATATGAGGGTCCTGGTAATACAGTCAGGGTCGTTCTCGACACAATCGAGAAATCCAGGTGGGACAGAAATAATTGGGCACATTTTCTTTCTGTGAAAAAAAGAAAAAAGAAAAACTCACCTAGCAGTAAGTAGGTACTCAGGAGTTAGTCAGCTTGTTGTGGGGTTGCACCCTGGGCGCGGTCAGTAATTCGGTCTAGAGGGGGAGGGGGCCTCGATATAAGTCTAATGTATTTATTTATATAAACAAGAGTTCTTACATTCTTGTACAGCCACTAGCACACATAGCATTTCGGGCAGGTCCTTAATCCCATGTTCCCGGAAACGGACCCGGCAAATCGTTTAACCACCAGGTACCCATTTTACTGTTGGGTTAAACAGAGGCTACAGTTTAGAACTGATGCCCAGTAAATCCTTGCCAGCCAAGATACGAACCCAGGACAAAGCGCTCGCAAAATGGCAGGCGAGCATCTTACCACTACACCTTGGAGACTGTTTATAAATACACTGTTTATGAATATACACATTATGTTCATGAATACACTCTGGTTTCCTGTCCCCCGACACAATGAATTATTATTATATCAAGGTCCTCTAAAGTTAAACTACTGACCCTCTCCAGGATGCAACTCCACAACAGTTTGACTTAACTCTCTGGTACCTATTTACTGCTAGGTGAACTGAGGCATTAGGTGACAGGACATGTACCCAACCATATCTGTCCCACCTGGGATGCTCAATTGGGAGTCAAACACCAAACCTTACCTAACCCTTCTAACTCTAACAATATAGAGTAAACTATGCTATTATTTGGAAATTGTGCAAAATGCCAGTTAACAATATGACGTAACTCATATGCAAATAACATGCTTACCTGTCAAGCAAATAAACAGTAGCTGGCCCCTCCACTTGGTTGCTCAAGCAGTCAACACCCATTAATACAACTAGGCTGCCTTAGGCTACCTTGGCAATGGAGTTTATGAATTCATCAGTCACAGACGCTGAAGCACACTTGGTGCTCAAGCTTAACGTACGCCTCAGTAAATGCATCACACCAAGCAAAATTTTTAGCGACTTCCTGATGTATCAAGAGTCACGAGTTACAGCGGTGGCCTCCAGATGTGTCAAAGGGTCAAGAGTTACAGCGGTGGCCTCCAGGTGTGCCAAAGGTCACGAATTACAGCAGTGGCATTCTGGTGTGCCAAGGGTCATGACTTACAGTGTGGCGAGCCTCGCAGGTAAGCCCCTGGAGTGCGGTCACATCACATGCAACCTTCACACATACAAATAACACCTTCGTTCACAGAGGTTACGTAAATAGGAACACTTTCGTATATTTGTGTACCAGCTTTTGTCGTTGATCTTGGGGACACAAGTGTTTAGGTGTGCCCAGGCGGTCCTGTGTAGGGTAAAACGCAAAAAAACTTGCGGATATATGAACGTAGCTTGTCGGAGGAAATTTGATTGTGCCTTGCGGCAGTTAAATATACTTTTAAGCAGATGTTTGGTGATCCCCCCTAGTATTAGAGTCCCCGGAGAGGTGACTCTGGGGACTCACCGGAGTCACAGTTCCACACACAACCAGCAGAAAGACTATTGATACCCAGTGACCCCCACAGGATAAGGCATAAGACTTTGTGAATTCTGGATAGTCAAAGGAAGTTGCGGCAAAGTGGCAAAATTGCAATAGCCTTACCTAACTTTCAGCCCATCGGGAAAAAACTTTTTCCAGTGATCTCCAGCAGAGCAGCCAGGCGCCAACTTCGCATTTTCTACAGAGCCGCCCATTTCTCCACCGTTGAGACCGTTTAGTTCGGAACGTGTTTCCGGGTGCTTTCGCGTCCTGTGCTCATCAGCTTGCGGCTCAGTCCTCTTTAGTCATTGAGGCACATACAGTTCGCAAGTTGACCTCGTAGAGAACTGTCGAAGTTCTTCCGTTGGGTTTGCGATACGATTAGTTGCCCACGGATGGTCCTGTTTGCTTCAGCGTGGAACCAAATGTGTCCGTTTTGAGATGATGTGGGATAAGTAGGGAAATGTTCTTCGATGGTTAAAGGCTCTCCACCGATCTTCGCATTTGGACTTTTTTCGTTTAAAATTCCGCTGTCTCATTTAAGTTTGAGAAGTACCTTGGCACTCCTTTTGCATTTTCCATAATTTAGCTTCGATCTCGGTTACCGTCGCCTTCTTTTCTTTTTGTTTTAGCTATTTATCAACCGTCATTTGATGCCTCATCGTTCGGCATTGGCGGAGGGATCTCCGCCAACAAGGGATCTCTTTTTCTTTTGTTGGCGTTGGATGTCTTTTTACCTTTCATAGGTATCCTCGTGTTTTCTTTTATTAGCTCCGGCCTGCTCATTCTTCTCCTGTGCTTTCTTTTGGCTTCTGGGTCGGGTGTTTGTGTCTATGTGTTTCCCTTTAATCCGCGATCTTTTATTTATAATGCCATTTTTTCTTTTTTTTTTTCTTTTCAAGTTGTCCTCAGGCAGCGGTGGATTCTCTTTAGTCAATAGTGTCTCTGGTTCTTTGTTCCAAGATTCGGTTATCAGCAAGGTGAAGGTGGTTGATTTTAGCTGGCCTACAGCCTTCAAGGGTCCGTGATGGCAATAAGTTTGTGGTTTTCTTCGCGTTCTTTGCCCGTGTTTTGTGGCCGATTTTTGGCTGTTTTGGGGGACGGGGGATACAATCAGGGTGACTCTGTGCTAATTTCCTTTAAGGTTACTTGCTGCTCCTTCCCTATTCCCACGGTATAATCCTTTCTTTGTTCTCTGTGGCGAGTTAGTTCAAGGAACCTCCAAGGAAGCATCTCTGAAATCCAGTACTGAATGTAATAAAACCCTTTATGGTGGGGTCCCTTCGGTGGCTCCCTGTTCAGAGCCAGTTCTGAACTTTCCACTGCTTGTGGAAGCTTGTTTGGTGGAAGCATTTTAATAGCAATGACCAGAAAATAGACCCACCCCGAACCCAAGCCTAATGCCAATAATTATCTTAATCTTTCACTGAGCAAGAGGTGTTTCATTACATTCAACATTGAATTTATTTTGTTACGGACAGCCAGTTTAGGGACTTCATACAGCTAATGTTGAAGGCCTGTTTAGAAACCCAAAACACACTGGTACCTCACCAAGGAATTTGTAGCTTATTACCAATTGCATCTGTATACTTTTTTAATGTATGGTTATTAAAATGTTTAGTTTTTTGAACAATCGTTTCCTCTCGTACTCTTAATTTGGCTTTTGCAAGTGTTGTAGTATGACTGACGCTCTGGTGAATTTGGAAGTTTTATTTGCAATGCTTTTTGTATTGACTCAGCTGAGGCAATTCTTTTTGACCTAGAAAAATATTATTACCCAAATATACCTTAGGGACACCATCTCACTAGTGACCTCAATGAGGACAGGAAGCTCCTATTTATCCTTATTTTACCCAGTTAGATTTTGAATTGCAGTAAAAAAAAAGATTTTTTGCCATTAATGGCTTCAGCGGTTAGGCTGTTCCATGGGTTTATAAGCCTATGGTTGAAAAACCATCTTTTTGTTTTCTGCCCTGTTAAGCTTTGTGAAATTTTGTAGCAGTGATCCACATAATGAAGGTTTGTATCCTCATCCTACCATCATGAAACTATTTCCGTGAACATTTTCACTACCATTCCTGTGCTATTGATATGTTCACAGATGAATCAAAGTCATCTTGTGGCATTGGCTGCTTCATTGTTTTCCCTGGCATAATGTGTTGCCTTTTCCCAGAGATGAGCATTTTCATGACTCTCCACAAATTGATGCCTCATCACTTCATGATTTCCTTGCAAATAAGATAAACTTAAAATACTATATTATAATCACTTCCATAAATTCAAGTCATTGGCGAATTTACTCTTAATTTGTACTAATAATTGCAACTTGAATTTTTTTCAATCATCATACTGGCACTGGTAAGAAATAGGACAAAATAGTTAAAGTCATAATATATGTATAGAAACAGCATTTATTTCTTATTTGTCATATATATATATACATATTATATACAATCTCACTAATTTGTACACATAGTTAAAAAATAGGCTATGTACATCCCATGCTGCAGCAATGCACTCCACCCGGTGGGACATATCTTGGTGCTGACGAAGTGATTCCCAAGTCTGAGCTACGTACAGTTTGATGATGACAGGCAGCAGTACTTGAGGTCGCCTATACCCACTGGTCACGTCAAACTTGTAATACAGACTGCAGTATACACACATTCAGTATGACAAATCGGGTTAAAGATTGGAAGGTTTTTTTTTTTTTTTGGCACCAACAAACTGTAGTAATAGAAGTCCAGTGTACTATAAACTATGGTACTGTCGGGCAGTGGTACTAACACAAATGCTGTCACTGTGGTATAAACAGAAGTTTTCATATATATATATTATATATTATATATATATTATATATTATATATATATATATATATTATATATATATATATATATATATATATATATATATATATATATATATATATATATATATATATATATATATATATGCTGTAATAAAACTTACAAACCACTTAAATTTTTGTGAACCTTGTGAAGTTGTGGTCGTAGAACAAATACACAAGTTACTCTTGCATACTTTACTGTATTGTTAGTTATCTACCTCAAATAGCCCGTATGTTGAAATTGAATTTTTTCGAACTAGTAATGAAATGTGCATTAAAAACTAGCATATGGCAGCTAGTAAAGTGAAATAAATTTCCTCTAAGAACAGAATCTTTGTGAAAGGAAAGCAATTATATTACCAATGGTTTATATTTGAATTATGCATCGTGCAGGAAATACTGAATTTTCTTTTAAAAAATTCTTAAAAATGTAAGTTATATTTAGATTATGCAGAGTAGTGGAAGGGTAAGTAGTCCCTGGAGCCTGAGCCCTCAAGGTTAGGTAGCCACAACACAACATCACATTTACAGTTCTAGCTAGCCACCAGGGGTAGACAACTTCCTCAGGCAGGTTTTTGTACTGTTGGCTTGCACCCCACACCTGCCACTCCAGTGGGTAGACAAATGAGATCCAACACAGTCCAGCTTTAACCAAGCTTTGGGTAATTCATTACATAACACTCTGTATCTTACACTCCAGGTCCCTTAAGACGCATCGACACAAATACACTCCCAGTTGTTTTCAGGTACATTTTAGGGATAAGATAATAATGCAGTGAGTATTATGAAGTAAACTTCCCAGAAGTCAAATGTACATGGGTACAAACTTGGCTGTTTGCTGCATCATCCCACCAGGTCAACTGACCAATTTAAGAGCTGCTGTTAACACATCAGTTATTAAACTTAAGTCATTCAATCTTTTAAATCACATTTTTGTACAATAAACCACCTGTTTTGTGATAAAACCAGCTGCTTGCATTGCATGTGGCACAATAAAATTTTATATTTTTTTATTGGCAGCATACATTTCTCTACTGTATTTGCATTATATTAAAATCACAACAAAACAATTTTAACAGGATTACAATTTATAACAAAAAATGCCTTCAAACTATAAATAAATAAAAAATATTCTATAAATACTGATAAAGTAAATATAAAAATAGTTCTCTTATTTCACAAAGGAAAGAACTTAACCTATTGCACTCGGCTGCTGCACTGCATGCCATAATTTCTGGAAAACAAAACAAAACCACAGGAATCTTGGGATGACAGCAACCCAAATATATTAACAGATAACAAGATGGGCCTCTTTGTAGCCATGGTGGGCCTGCAGTTTTGAGGTGGGTTAACAACTTCAGAGCCAAGGTCTATTCATGCCTTGATAAGACCCTGGTCTGAGGCCAAGGGAGGGAGGGTAGCCTGAGGAGTAGCCAGCTGCACTCATGAGCCCCTGTTGGAGCATCATGGACTGGTGAGCAGCCAACTGAGAAGGGTGGGCACCAGCTGATCTAAGTAACAGCTCCTCTTGGGCCTGCCGCTGCTGAAGGTACTGCTGGTAAAGCTGAGACGTTGGATCTACTAGACCACTCGCTAGCGACCCACGGCTACCTTGGTTCATTAGCGCCAATGAATCGCGACCAGAGTATGACGCTAAACTGGCAGCATTAAGGTGGCTGAGTGTCTGAGCTTGTGTAGATGATATAGAATTAAGACTGGGAATCTGAAGGGATGGGTGAGACTGTGAGATAGGATCCCTTGGGTCCCGTGATAAAGATGGGAAAGTTCCCTGGCTCAATCCAGGCAGGCTTTGATGGGACTGTTGGTGGGCAGGAGTGGGAGTCCGAGGGGCTCCTGGTAGACCTAATGCTGCACTCAGCCCTGGAGACTGTGGTAAAAATGGGGAAGATGAACCAGACAGTGGACGTGGCAAAGAGCCTGGAGTAAGAGCACCTTCTCCACGGCCAAATAGTGGAGAGGATTGACCAGTCATCATATTGGCATATGAACGTCCAATACCCAACTCTACACTGTTGCTGGCTGTTGTTGAAGACCCGCCTGCAGCACTACTAGAACTAGAAGCAGAGCGACCTGATGATGCTGGAGTTCCAGCTGAACTACCTCCTGAAGATCCTCCACTACTTGGCCCACTTCCCACTTGAGTTTGTCCGGCACTAACTGACCCTCTTTGCAAGAGTTCATGTGAAAATATATTTGCCTGCCCTGTGCGACTGGCAAGAGAAGCGAAAGCTGCACGATCAAGAGCCAAACGTTCTTGCGTTAGTCGATCCTGTGCGAGACGTTCAGATGGTAAGGACCCCATTTTATGCAAAGATGCAATTACTGAGGTGGTTGCCAAATTACTTCCTAAGCTGTTTGCCAAACTTGTAACAATACTTGGCGGCAAGCTAGAAGCTAGGCTAGAAGCCAAGCTTGTGGCCAAACTGGAACTCCACATACTTTTCTGTTGCAGGTACATGTGTGACTTATCAGTGGCATGAGCAGGTGGCAAGTCACGACTAGCAGGACGAGTACTCTCTGTGAGCTTTTGGTGTGCTATTGGAGGTTGTGGACCACTATGTATTTGGGACTGAGGAGTTTGTGGACCTTTGGACAACTGTTGGGGTGAGGCAAGACCAGGCTGTGTTTGCATATGTGGGCTGGTAATCTGCTGATGGTAATTTGGCAGCACTGACATGTCCTGCAGCTGTTCTGAATCTAACTGCAGGGTCAGGTCTGCTGGTACTGCTGCTGCTGTTGCTGGTGGTGGTGGTGGTGGTGGTGGTGGTATTATTCCAGTAACAGATAGATTTGGCTGATGCAATTTAGTTAAATCATTAACAGAAGTTATTCCACTACGTTCTAAATCTAAAACTTGACTTTGTGTAGGAGTCTGTCCTCCAGTTACATCAAATATAGGAGATGGTAAAGCCTTCCCTACAGCAGTGTCAGGAGTTGGGTATGTGGAAGGGGTCCGCTGAGGTTCAGTAGGTGTCTTGACTGAATCTTTCTCGGCAGCAGGTCTGCCAGAATCTGGCTCTGTAATACGGGAAACAATCTGGGATAAATTGGCCAGGTTGGCAGGTAATGCAGATGGATGTGGTGAAAATGGAACCGTCACATTAGGAGAGGCTACACTACTCGTATTTATAGTATCTTCTACAGATTTTGGATCTGTCCACGGTGGAGTGGGTCCACCAACAGTGGTTTCTCCCCCAACTGCAACTGGTGTACTGGGTGGGAAGTCTTGAACACTACGGTCTATGGGTGCCCTCTTTTTTAGGGGCTGCATCTCAGATTTGATGGGCATAACTGGACTTGGTGTTGGCAGTGTAACTGGCCCAGGAGATGCTAAATCACTGGACAATGGGCCAGAGTGGGCAGCTGGTGATAAAGATGGCTGTTTCTTTGAAGCATCTTGGGTATTAAAATACCCCTGAGGCTTCTTTTGTGATGGGGGAGGTGGTACTGAACCAGTATTTTTATATTGATCTGTAAGGGGTTTAGTTGTATCATATGAATAATAACCATACTGTGATTTAGTCTTTTCAGCTGAATCAGGTGTTAGTGAAGCTGGGGAGGGTTTGCTTGTGGGTGTCGCTGGAGCAGAAGCTGAGTAGTAATGGGGAGCTTTGGCTTTGTCGAGATTGGAATCGGATGTACTATAAAAACTTGCAAAGCCTGCAGGAGATTTTTGCTTTTTATTAGCTTCAGCTTTGCTGGAATAGAAGGAACTCATATATGGTACAGTGGGACTGTAAACTGGTGATTCTGCTGGCTTCAGCTCGACAGCTTTTTTTTCTGGTTTGTCAGCATTAGTCTTGTCTGTCATATCTTGATAGAAACCTACTTTTATTGCACCATTTGCCTGATATTTAGATTTTTCTGGATCATAGGATGGAAATGGTTTTGATAAGGACGTTTCAAATCTAGGAGAATAAGCAGGTACATTTGGTGACTTTTCTGGAACTGGTGAAAATGGTTTCGAGCCAAATCCGGGAGTATGGGGTGATCGTGTCATTGGTGAGCGTTCACCCTCAGATGAGAATGCAGCTGGAGAACGGTCCGAGTCAAAGCTATGATTAAGAGGTGAGCGGTCAGATACACCGGAAGACGATACCGAGGCTTTTCGCTGTCGTTCAACTTCTAATTTTTTAGCCTCTTCTCGAGCACGATCTAGCTCTTCTTCCTCAAACTTATACGGGTCATCTTCTTCATCAGGCTGTAGAAGACAAGAGTACAAATTACACTTATCACTAAAACATCTATAATGTAAATAAAAATGTAATATATTTTAATACTGTAAAATATTGTAACCTACATCCAAATGCAGATAAGTGTATTGTGAATTTACTAAAACCCAAGTAAGCTTGTACTACCAAACCTCAATGTTTAGTATGATTTTGGCTAACTGCACACTAAGGAAACAGGATTACAATACTGTATATGGTCTGCAAGGTGAGGTATTCGTCTCCTTTCTCTAGTACATATAGAGGAAATATTTCATTAAAAAGCAAAATTCTTCCCAAACTTTTGACAAATATAAGGTATAAAAGACTACAGTATACAGTGTTGTATTTATCTCATAAAATTTAGACTTCTAATGTTGAAACTGTTATCTTTCAACATTTTAAGTATACTGCCCAACCATTACAAAATATTGCTCCCTATTGTCAGATTATCAAAGATTGCAATAGACCTCAGGTTCTACATGGTGAGATTTTACACCCACTATTTCTACACCATGCAAGAATTTACACCATTACAGCGGATCCGGATCAAACTGCCCTCATTCTACCTAAATCAAAATGCAATGGAAGGATTCCATTCTGATAGTAAAAGTGCTGTGATCAGTTATAACATGATATAATAGCACTCTTAAGGTGGAGCAAATTTCATGTATTCACTGGACTAAGATTTGAAGCAGAAAATGTAAATAAAATTCAGTAACATAGTTTAAAAAGCACATTTCCCAAGTGATTCTGTTATCAAAATGTGCAATCTATCAGTTGCAATAATAATAATACAAATTTTAATTTAAAAAAGATACAGGTGAATATGGTATAGTGGTTGAATACTGTAGTCATTATATAAAATGCATATTTAATAAAGCCACTAGTATGCAAAGCACTATGGCCTTATTTTAATACACATACTCTTTGATATAAAATACAAAAATCTGGATGCAATGGAGCCCTTTTACTGTCCATTAAAGTCCTCTATCCAAAATTTAAGACAGTTTTAAGTCAAAAACAGCTTTATTAAATTAAAGTACACCCTTAATGAGGACTGAGACTGTTTTACACTAGAATGTGTTAATAAACATAATTTTATAGAACAAAAGCGAGCTGCAAGTGAATACCCTGGATGCTTTCTGTTTATAATGTGGTAACAGTCCACTTTGTGAAATAGGATAGAAGCGAGAGCGACCACCCATGAGATCAATGGACACACCCCACACATGAACCGCATGGAGAACTGAACTCAATATTATCCAGATACCAAGCTATTTGCAGAGTCCAGCTCCAAAGCAAGACCCCCATGTTTATAAAATGAACTACTGGGTAGGAGTTGAAATAGAGCTGGAGAACAGAGCTTGGAGGAAGATGAACACTCCAAAGAGTGTGCCACACTGCCATAAACTCGTGCACTGTGCTATGCACCTGAAGGAGTGGGCCTAACTAACAACCCTAGGAGTCTTGGTGAGCTGAGGCATCAGTGAACACATCAAGTGTTCACTTGATGTGTTCCATGGCACTGGAAGGAAGGTGCCATGGAACTGAAGTTTGAAAAGGAAGCTGAGGATGCAAGAGCCAAAGAAGGGCAAACTAATGGTTTTCCAATGGGTCCCAGCAGTGACATAACAGGAGGAATCAGTATAATGCACACAGTCAAACCCTGCCCAGCAGAAACTCCATGCAGGCGGATTTCAGGTTCCATCACAACCACTCGACCAAAAACCAAAAGACATAGGCTTGAATTAAAATGGCAAACCTGAACATCGCAAGCAATGAGGTACGGACCTCGTACTAATATGGTCACCATACAACTGCTAGATATTCCAGCTTTGGTCTAACAAAAGGTGTGAACAATTTCTTTAGTATTTCACCATCCATGTATTTAAAAGCAATTCTGAAGTTAGAAAGTGTAGTATAGGCTTTTTGCACGATGTTCTTTATGTGGTCCTCAGGTGATAGTTTTCTGCCTAGAGCCACCCCCTAGATCTCTTTCTTTATCAGAATTCTTTATAGGTTATTTATAGGGTCCTACACATAATTTAAAGGTTGTGTGAGGGTCTATGTTCTCTTATTCCACATTCCAAAACATGGCATTTATTCACATAAAATTCCATTTGCCAAGTGGTACTCCATACACTTATTTTGTCCAGGTCTTCTTGAAGGGCATAGCAATCATCTAAGTTTCTTATCTTCCCTATTATCTTAACAATATCAACAAACATACTGATGATCCCTGTACTGTACTATACAGTTTGGTAATTAAATATGCACTCTAACACAGATTATATGAATGTGTTTGCTTATGATGCTAAGCTACTAAGGAAGATAAGACACATACAATTGTCATGGCATTCAAGATGAACTGGATAAAATAAGTGTATGGAGCATCTCTTGGCAAATAGAATTCAATGTGAATAAATGCCATGTTATGGAATGTGGAATAGAAAATAGGCCACACATAACTCAATAAATTATGTGGAAAGGAATTAAAGAACTCTGACAAAGAAAAAGATCTTGGGGGTTGTTCTGAATAGTAAACTATCAAGAGAGGACTACATAAAGAACACTGTGCAAAGAGCATATGCTATACTTTTCAACTACTAAATGTAGAAGTTGGTTAGTAGCTTTGGAAGTTTAGCAGCTTTTCATGTTAATAAATGGTTTTTAGAACTGAAAAGCAAGATCTATGAGAAAAGGCTAGAGGTGTTGAATTTGCCCATGCTGGAAGACAGAAGAGAGATATGATCACTATATGCAAAATAGTAACAAGAAGAAATAAAATTGACAGAGGAATTCTTGAAAACTGCAGCTTCAAGTCTGAAGCTGCAGTTCTAACACAGAAGGGGCAACCACCAAGACAGACCCTCCTCACCAGGCAGAAAACAAAAGCAAAAGCAAAACCCCCGCAAGAGGACAACGTACCCAGGTGGAACAGAGCCAGCTGCCAGCTGCCAGAGCCAGAAGTAAAAACTAGTTGTGCGGTACCCCACGCCCCTACAAGTGACGAATACTACCCCCTAACCAGAAGCAAACATGGGCAACAAATACCCCAGTTGACTCAAAGGGCAGCCAAGTACCGAGCAGTAAAAGACACAGCAAGGGTAGATCCCGAGGTGACTTGTGGAAGGTGGCCCCCATGCCCCAAGGGTAGTACATACAGGGCATCTAGGAAAGGTGGCCCTAGGCGCATGCAGCCCGAGTACCGAAGAATATTACTCCTGGCTCACACACCCCCAGTAGAGACAGTCCACGCCACAAGGCACAGAATCTGATACAAATCGCTGGAGCCAGAGGCACAAGACCACGCCAGTAGCACATCAGCCTGAGAACTGCAGGGTGGATCGCCAGTGTGATGGTCTGGGGCTCCCCCTTCCCCCTCCCGGGGAGGAGGGGGGATTGCACAGACAGCACCGCGACGACATGATGACGTCATGCTCATTTGCTAATTTTCGTTTGGGGAGTTCTGTTCACTTATTTGGCTTTTGGTAGAAATAGTTTCACCAGAATAGGAGTTTGTTTTGGGGCGCCTACCTTTCTGGGTGCCAGATCCAGTCGATGGCAGACATAGATTGCTCCCAACCACATGGGGGTTTCTATAGGCCATTGCTCCTCGTACCTCTCTTGAGGGGGCCAAGTTCTGGCCCATGGTCCCCAGTAGGCAAGAACTCCGTGCACACTGACTGATGCCAGAAAGTTATACATATCCATTCAGTCTGGATAGCTCTGGGGAGCCGATGGGGCTCCCCCCAGAAAAAAATATTAGAAACTTCTCCTTTCCAAACAGAGTGATGGACGATTGGGAAAGTTAAGCGAGGAAGCAGTGAATGCCCAACCCGTAAGTAGTTTCAAAGCATCATATGACAGAGACATAGAGTAGTTTCAAAGCATTATATACTGGAAGGCAGGACACCATGTGCATAACTCTCATCCTGTATTTACACTTAGGTAAGTACAATAATGTTAAAATGTACAAAATGTGATCATTTTGTATAGGAGTTTGTAATTACCACTTATAATAATAATAATAATAAATGTATATTCAGGTAAAAGTACATACATTCACAATGAGTTACAAACAAAATGTTGGATTTCTAGATAGAGCTAGTAAATACTATGCTTAAAGCCACTAATACGCACAGTGTTTCGGGCAAGAAACTTACAAAATACAAAATTACTTAGGTACAGTAATTACAAACATCTACACAAAATCATCACTTGTTTCTTCCATTTTAACATTATTTATTCTTTTCAAAACATAGTGGAACCCAAAAAAATCCAGACTTCAATATAAGAAAGACATGTACTGTACTGTACATCTAAATAACAGACCAATTTTACTATCAAATTGCCTATCAAAATTTTAATTTTAAATAATTATTTCAAATTATTCTGTGATTGTAGCAAACATTAGTGAAGTGGCTGGTAGAAGAATTTGCCATAGATACTAGTACTGTTTGACATTAAAGAAGACAAATCATGGAGTTTATCAGTTATAGTGAGCAGTGGTGGTGAAATATCTGTTGAAAAACTTTAAGGCCATCATACAAATTACTGTAACTGCATTTTGCTGCCATTGGATAACTAAGCAGCCCATCCTCACGTGCTGTCACGTCACAAAAATGATGTACTAAATTTCCCCAACCTTATGATAAAAGGGACAGCTTCACAAATTTTGCGAGCCGCTATGATTTCTAGTACATCACATTTTGGCTGTTGAGGATTTACATGTCAAAATACGATGTACTATTCAAGAGAGGTTGAACCAAGACCAGCCTGTGCTACAAAATATTCAATTAACAAATAAATGTTAATATAAATTAAAACAGTTTGACATTAAAACCAAAACATTGCTTATATATTATTTGTATGTCTAAATATGTAGAAAGGTGTATTGTATCAGTTGCTATAAGAAAACTCCAAACAATTTGGCAATGAAATGTCCAAAAATTACCAAATACGATCTTCAGAAAGCCAGACTATTTGG